TAGCCGGCCGATTGGTTGTGTCCGTAGGATGTGCTCCGACAGCACATGGGTTCAGAGCACCGGGCGTTAGAGCCGGGCGTGTAGTATAGGTCCGGATGGATGTCTGTCAAGTGTAACATTTTACGGGTCAAACTCATCACAGACTGCATTGGGTTAAATGGTTTTGGATCTGGCAGTGGTAGTACCCAATTGACCTTAGTCGCAATTGTTTATCAAGATTAAATTATTAATGTCATTAAAATAGGTGAATAATAATCATGTTTAGTATATTTTACCACGTGTGAGATTTCATTGCCCGTATGAGTCATGCAATCGGGATGTAGTAAAACGCCGCACATTTCCGGTACAGTAATCGCTGAGTTTTGCAGTATATATACTATGGGTTCGGCCATCGATGTCAATGTGCCCACACATACCCTATCGGTCGCGTCGGCCACTGTTTTACATACAGTATTTGCCGTCGATTTCATCAAATCCGCACTTTTTATGACCAGTTTTGCATTGTTTAGAGCGGAGACACAGTTATGACACGTTTGGTTGTCGTGTTTGTTATCGTCTATATCTAGTCTTAGTTTATCTAATTGCTATTTTAATGAACATTATGGTTAATTGTCAAATATTTAACTAAATCTATAACTTGTTAGTTATAGTAAACTATTCTTACCTTAATCACATCAATTATGTCCAAACCATTCAATAGATTTCTATCTTCCAGTGATAGAAATTGATTCAATTGATGCCTTATATCATCAAAATTGTCACTATTTTTATGGCATCGGATATCAGATGAAAATGAAATGACAATAATTACACAAAATCTCAATAATACATCCATTTTGTATTTTTCATAAACTTTTATTGATTAACTATTTGTGTCTAGTTTATTAGTTTATATATTGTTTATATTTACAGTTTTCACCATCGTTGTGAAACATTTGTGAAACATCGAAGTGGATTAGTTAGAAAGATATTGATTATCAAACGCTTAATTTCTGAGTGGTAATTATAGTGAATTTCTAAGTGAATATTATGTATCTAATTGTCAGTATTTATAAATAGCCGGTAATGTTAATGAATTGATTAAATCCCAATAAACAGTAAATTATTGTGCATGTATTGCACATCTATTGTCTTAGAGTACTCTTGTTCAATCAAGTCTCTATTAGAGACTTGGAGTAGAAAAGCCAATTGTC